TCTTTTTTTCTTTTTTTTCTTTTTTTTTTTTTTTTTTTTTTTTTGAGACAAGGTCTCAGCAGGTAGCCCTGGCTGTCCAGAGACTCACTCTGTAGACCAGGCTGGCCTTGAACTCACAGAGATCCATCTGCCTCTGTCTCCTAGTGCTGGAATTGAAGGTGTGTGCTATCATATCCTGCTCTTTTCTTATAACTTTTAAGCCTGTATTATTTTGGTAACATTGTTAAAACACTTTAAAAAAAAATGCGTGGTGTGTACATGAGTATGTATTTGAGTTTGCATGTATGTGGGTGCATGGGTGTGTGTGCATGTGTTTGTGGGTGCATGTGTGTGGGTACACATGTGTGGAGGCCTGAGGTTGACAATGAGTCTTCCAGGATTGCTCTCCACCTTCTTCCCAGAGGCACCACCATGCCTGGGTTGGTTTTTTTGGGTTTTTTTTTTGTTTTTTTTTTAAAGAAATTGTGTGTGTGTGTGTGTGTGTGTGTGTGTGTGTGTCTATTTGTGTTATCTGTGTTGTGTGTGGTATGTATGTCTGCCTATTTGTTATATGTCTGTTTAGTGTATGTGTTATGTGTGTATGTGGTGTCTGTGTTGTATGTTCTGTGGATGTTATATGTATATGTGGTGTCTGTGTCATGTGTGTTCTATATGTATGTGTCTGTATATGTTATATGTGGAGTGTGCATGTGTGATGCGTCTGTGTGTTAATGTGTGTGTATGCTATGGGTATATGTTATGCATGTGTGTGTTATATATGTATGTTGGTGTATTTCATGTATGTATGTGTGTCACTGTGTATGTCCAAGGTCTCTAGTTTGTGACTTGGAATGTTTACATGGAGCTTGCTGGTGTGTCCAGGCTGGCTGACTAGCAAGCCCCAGGGATCTGTTTATCTGCCTCCCATCACTGGGACTGTAGCATGCACTACCACATCTGGCTCCCAGCACTGGGACTTCAGCATGCACTACCATATCTGCCTTTCTGACACAGGTTCTGAGGCTTGAGCTCAGGTCCTTGTTTGTGCAGCCAGTGCTTTACCACTGATCTGTGCCCTGGCTGAGAGATGCTGTTTTTTTTTTTTTTTTTTTTTTTTTTTTAAAAAAAAAAGAAAAAGAAAGAAAGAAAGGAAGGAAGAAAGAAAGAAAGAAAGAATTGTTTTTTTGTGTATGGATGTCTTGCCTCTGTGTGTGTGTGTATACATATATTCTTATACATATACATATATGCACACCATGTGTCCCTGGTGCCCACAGAGGTCAGAAGAGGCTGTCAGGTGCCCTGGAACTAGAGTTATGCACAGTTATGAGAGCCACCATGCTGGTGCTGGGAGCCCAACCCTCTTCCTCTGCAAGAGCAGCCCGAGCTCCTAACTGTTGAACCATTTCTCCAGCTCGTTCCTACCCAGCTTGAAGCTAATGAAGGCTCTTACATTTCTTACTGCTCTTTCTTGAATACTTTTTTATAAGATGATAAAGTACCGTGTGATCTTTGCCACACACCTCTGAAGCACCCTGCCTGTCTTGTTTCCATGCAGGAGTCAAGAAGAAAGCTGGTTACATCACTCCTGTCCCTGGTGGTGTTGGTCCCATGACAGTGGCCATGCTCATGAAGAACACCATTATTGCTGCAAAGAAAGTGCTAAGGCCAGAGGAGCTGGAAGTGTTGAAGTCCAAACAGCGCGGAGCCGCCACCAACTAGCAGCTTTCCGAGCCGGGCTGAGAGGCAAAGCGGGCTAAGGGGAATGCAGTATTTTTAATTTATTCTGTTGAAATGGTTTAGAATGTTTGTATTTATTGAAAGCTTAAACGGGTGGCTGTGTGTGCGCATGGCTCTGCAGAACCTCACCAGGGTGCTATCAGTGTCCTGCTTTTGACCTGGTGAAGCATGGGAGACATCCTCACACAGAGTGGATGCCGAACTTCATCAAAACTGTCTGCCTGGTTAGGCTCTCATTTCCCAAGTGCTATTCCAATACAAGTTGATGACTCAACTTAGGTCCCAAGCCTTTGAGTTCAACTTTCAAACCAAAGGAAACCTTAGTAGAGAAAATTAAGGGAAAGGAAGAGACAGCAGCACTGGGTCTCAACGGCACTCCCTTACTTTCTGTGCAGCCAGAAGTACCCAGATTGCCCTGAGGAGAGCTCAGCTGCTGGGCTGGTGGATAAAAAAGCCCAGCGTTACTAGCTGTCCCCCTGTGGCGGGTCAACAGAGAAGGTTTAGAGTCTCCCCACTTGCTGTTATCCTTCTGTGAGCTTGCCCTATTTTAATTTTCTAGAATCGAAAAGCTCATTTTATAAATGATGTGTGTATTACCATGTTTGGCTTTTGCAGCACACTTAAACTTTAAGTTTCAGACTTGAAGAGTTGTGTGTCTGTTTGCTTTGGCGTATGCTTTGAGGCCTGTTTTTTGTTTGTTTGTTTGTTTGTTTGTTTGCTTTGAAAAAACAAAACTTGGGTGTGATAATCACGAGGGCAGCTCGTGCCACCAAAGAACTGTCGGCAGCTGCATCTCTCACGTCCCTGTTGGCTTTCCTGAAAGTTATCAAGGAGTGTGAGTTAATATAAGACTTAGTCAGATTTTCTTATTAAAGGATTTTGTTGCTGTTTGTTTTTGTTTGTTTGTTTTTAAATAAAACACATCTGTCAGGTGTGGAATGAGTTCCTGAAATGCTGTTGTCTCAGTCAGAACCTAACCCATTACTATTTCCTACCTAATGTTCTAAGCTAGCTGTCCCTAGCTTACATCCACTCTATGAGGGGCTGTGGATACAACCCTTTTGTATCCCAACAGGCAGTTCCAAGCTAAGAATTTATTCATCTTTCAGGTTCATGTAAGTGATTCTGGGTGTCTTCTATTCCCTCCAGTCAAACACCACTCACTACAAAGGTCATGCTTGCTTGCAACATCTTAACACGTGGACCCATGTGTCCAGTAGATACAGGCCATCCCTGCTGTGCAGTCACGTGGACCCATGTGTGCAGTAGATACAGGCCATCCCTGCTGTGCAGTCACGTGGACCCATGTGTGCAGTATATATAGGCTATCCCTGCTGTGCAGTAGTTTGATTGACAGACAGACTAAAAGGTGCACGCTGAACTTCCATCCCTGGGTGTTTGAACTTAGGCTGAGAGAGTCAGTTCCCGCTCTAGACAGCCTGAAGCAGAATAAGAAGGGTGAGCCATGTGGTGCTGACCTATTTTTCCCTTGTTCCTCTACCAGGAACTCTACTCTTTTCTGGGTGGTTTTTTTTTTTTTCTTTTTAAAATATGTGTGAGTACTTGCCTGCACATTTGTGTGTGTGTGTGTGTGTGTGTGTGTGTGTGTGTGTGTGTGTGTGTGTGT